CGGCTTCCGCGGGCCTCTGCCGTCGGCAGGGGACTCGGCGGTGTCCTGGCGCAGAGCAGCCCCCCGGGTCCTTTTCACTGAGGCCAGCCCCTCCTCTGCGGCCTGGGAAGAGAGGACCCGGTCAGCTAGGACGGGGCAAGCGGGCCAGAGCACCTCGGGCCCGAGAACAGTGCTGCGAGCTGAAGGGGTCGAGCCACCGCAGTCGCCATGGAACAGGCAGAGGCTGCGCCCACCTCGCTGTCCCTCTTCTGACCGCCAGTGGCCTCTCCGGCCGCCTCTTGGCTGGTGCGCGCGCGGGGGCTGCGACCTGGGTGTGCTGCTTTTCTCCTCAGGAATTCGGTGATTCCTAAGGACTCGGCGACCTGAGGATGAGAGACGCTCCACTCAGAACACGGTGACACCGGGAGCCAGAGCCCTGCGTTTAAAGCCGCGGATGCCTCGCCAGTGAGGGCCGCTGAGCAACGCAGAGCGACGCAAAGCTGGACCGGGTGGCGGGTCAGCGCCAGAAGATTCTGGGTTAGCACAGTGTGGAGGACACTGAGAAGATCTTTAAGAAAACTCCACACACTCTGTAGTGTCACCTCGCGCTTAACGATGGTAGCCTGATAGCGCGGGGCTTTCTTGCCCATAGTGCCTCCTCTTCTAAATTCTCACTGGCGCCTTCAGCAAATCATCCTGCCTATTCCGGAACCAGGCTCCTTTCCTGGTTGGGAGAAAGGACGTGGGTTTGGGGGCTGAGAGCCCGAGCTGGCCCACTTCTCTGCTCACAGCCTGGGGGACCTTGGCAGCCTCTATGGCCTACCCAAGTCTCGTCCTCGCTGGACCAGGGACACTGCAGCGGCTCTGAAGGCTGGGCTAGAGTCCATGTGCGAAGCGCGTGTAAAGGTCATTTCACGGGGACATCGGAGGGCGCAGGCCGTGGGAGGAGGGGCAGGGAAGCAAGGGCAGCAGGTCAAGGCTAGAAGAGGGCAGGGTTGGCAAGTTCAATGTCTACTAATCTGACAGCGTCCCCTTCGCAAACTGTGCAGGGGCTTTGCCAGAGCCAGTGACATGCTCACTGGCACGGATAGTGGGGATGAGGACCCTGCCTCATGCTGGACACAGTGAGAGCCCCTGAGTGAACTGACCACGTGGTGTGTCCTATGCCCAGCAAAGAGTTTTATCCAAAATAAGACAAATCACATCTTCAAAACATATTTCTGTCAAGGACCCAACACAGCTAAAGGCAATTCAATGATGACAACGATAGTGAACTATGTCAAAACCACCACGAACAGCAGCCGTGGGTCCCTGTGTAGCCGCCCCCCAAAACCCACCTAACGGGAGGAACGACACACCCTGCCGCCCGTGGTCTTTGCTGCGATCAGCGGTTACGGGTGTGTGCAATTTTCTTTAGCTCATCTAAAGCTGCATTTCTGAGCTTTCTGAAAAAAGCGTCTATTGCTTTTACGTTAAGAAAAAAAGACCTGCACTTGATGGGAAAAGAACGAAAAAGAAGTTGACGATGAAGGTGTCACTACAGAAATCAACATTCTCCTTCTCAACAGACACGCTGCCTTCGGCTAGCACTACGAGCAAAACCCTTCATCGGTGAGACTGTACCTCATTGTCGTTTATTTCCAGGGGCTCCTGAGACCATGGGCCGGAGCTACAGAGGTAATCGTGACACATTTTCTTAACCATTTTATGCAGCTCTTCAAATTCCTTGTACACGGCTGGGAAAAAAGGCTTTGCTAGATGAGCTTTTTCAACCTTAGTGAAGATAAAAGATGACAAAAAAAGGTTTAAACCCAAACCAATGAGGTGAAAAATACAAGACATTTTAAGGAGGACAGGATATATTGTCAATGGCGGGCATTTCCCTCACTCCCCAGAGAGCCTGCTGTGTGTCCAGCACTATGCTCGGCAGGGGACACCGGAATGGGCCTGGGGAGAGGAGGAGAGGGATACAGAAGAGCCAGGAGGACCTGTCTGTCCTGTGGCCGTAGGCAGGAGGAGGGCCAGGCCTTCTCCCCACGCCTCAAGTCATGCTGACGCCCCCTGAAGGGTGGGTGCAGGCAGCCTGGGTGGCATCAGCAGAGAGGGCTCAGCAGAGCGGGAGCAGAGGCGGCCGTGAGGATGGCTAGTGGGTGCCGGGGAGAAAGGCGACGAGGGCCGTGGGCTGGCCGAGGTGTGCTGCTACCCTGTCGTGCCTCCCACGCAAGGTGAAACAGTCAAGAGCCCGTGGGCGGCCTGAAACCGGGCCACGCAGGCCCGGGCCCCCAGACCAGGACCAGCAGGTCCATTCAGCTCTGTCCCAGAGGACAAATTGATTCCGAAAGGCCTGGCCCTTTCTAAAATAAATGTGAAGGATGCCTTTCTAAGTAACTTCCAATCATCCTCTAGATGATTCAGAAACACTAAGACGACTCACCTTCATCAGAAGAAACTCATGCACAGTCACAGCCTGGGCCAGCTGAGGCAGAGCCAACTCCACGAGATCCTCCCGGTCACACTGGTGCAGAAACTATCAGAAGAAAGCATTTGACATCTTTGAAAGGCCGCAAGAATTTCTCAGTAGCCAACAAGTTGGCGTAACAAAGAACGTAAAAGACGTAGTTCCCGCAAATCTCAGCGACTAAGCAACTCTCAACTATTAACGTTCTGCTTTACTAAAGATCTCACTTGTTCACCCGTTAACAAAGCTCTATGATCAATTCTGGATTCAGAAGCTCCACTGCCCCATGACTGCACTGAGTGTGCCGCGGGTACCAGGCCATGGAGGACACAATGGTGGGGACTGTTCCCTCCTCTCCAGGGCTCACCAGCCAGTGCCAGAGAGAAAAACGCAGACAAGTCTCAAGGCAGCCCACAGCCAGGACACCAAAGTACAGGGGCGAGGCAGGACGGGGCGGGTGTCAGGGAGGGAGATGCAGGAAGGATGCAGTCCTCGGGGCTTAGTGACAGCTGGACGCAGGGAGGGGTGTGGAGGAAGAGGAGACATGGACACCTGCTGAGGGCCCAGGCAGACTGCGGACAAGATAAGGGTGGGACGGGAAGCCAGCTGTGGGCTCTGAAGCTCGGGAGAGTTCTGAACAGGAAGTATGGATGTGGGCGTCTGCAGAGGGAAGATGGGCTGAGAAACCAGGAGGATGGATGAGGGCGGCAATCGGGTGAGGCAGACAGTGGGGGCGGTCCCGAAGACAAAGTCTTACAAGGCTGGGGGGTCAGAAGGGCCGTCAGGGGCTGCGAGGGCTGGAGGGGGTTCAGACAGCAGCAGCTGGTCAGCAACCGTGAAAGCAAAGGAGGACCTTCAGTTTGCAAGAAACAGCGCTTGATTGAGACTTGCAAAAGCCCTCAGAGAACAATGACCGCTGCCTTCCAACACCCCCAGAGGTTGGGGTGTCACCTCAGCGCCCCAGCCCACAGCACAGGGCCCTCCTCAGTTCCCTGCTTCGTTCTCTCGCACGCCTGTTGGTTTGGGTCGTCTCCCCTGAGTGGGGCCGTGTCCACCTGGGGCACACTGTCCCCTCCTCACCCGGACAGGGCCTGATTCTTGTGGACGGTCAGTGCATAAGTTAATGCCCGATGCCAGGGGATCCTCGCCCGTAAGAGTCGAGAGCGGCCCTGTTCAGAGTGGTCCTTGGTTGCTTCTCTGTGTGAGGGATGTGGCATCGGGCGTAGACCATTGATGGCATCACGTTAGAGTCGCCGTTACACAGAGCAGACGGGCCTCACTGATCCCGGACGCCCTGTCACACGCTCCTACTTAGTCGACACCAAACAGCCTGGGCTGGAATTCTGGATCTGCCACCTCCCTGTGCAGTCACCTTGTACAAGTTATTAGGCTGAGTTCGAGGTCTCTCATCTTCTAAGTCAAGATGATAACTATGTCATCAGGGAAGTGGGGTGCACCTGGAACTAGGCACAAGGTCGGTTGGTGTGGCTGAGCTGCCCCGCAAAGCCCAGTAGATGGTGGCTGTTTTGATGCTGAATGGGTCAAGTCAAGGACTGCAGCGCCTCCTACTCCCCAAAACTAGCCCTTCTCGATTAATTAACAAGCCTCGCTGGGAAAAAAGCCAGTTCCCCAGCGTTTCCATTTCCCGCTAGAACAGGAAACTAGGAAACCCGCGTCCTCTGAAACTTCTTCCCTTTGTCTGTAGGAGTTTGGAGGCCAGGGACCCCAATGGCCACTTTTTCTGGGGCCAGCTGTCTCACCAACTTATCTCGCAATCTTGCTATTTTTCACCTCTTTTCTTGAAGATATTTATCCGGCCATTACCAGGCCAAGAAATACGTCCTAGCCAAAAGCAATGTGATTAAGTTTAGGGTTCCACTTTTCCAAGTCGATTCAACTAAATTCAATAAACCTACTTTCAAGGGGCTGAATGGAGATTCCAGGGTTCAAAACCCAAAACATGCTTTTATACCTTAAAACTTTTAACAAAAAAAACACATTTCTGTTGTCATCTAAATGGCTTCCGTGAAAACATGTTAAAATTATTCCAAAACGTACAAAGACAAGCATCTTGTTTTAAATAAGGCACCCTGGTAATTTCAAACAGATGACTTAGGAAATCTTTCGGGTTAAGGCTCCCCTTAAATTTACCATGTGCTTCATCCATCCAGTTCCATTTCCGGCGAACCGTTTAGTGGATCTGGGTAGTTCACTTTCAGATTCAGAAACCTCAGAGTGAACTGCACGCACCGTGCCACAGAAACGGGTTTCGGGGGCAGGAGTCAGCGACGCACCTCCGCGAGCCTGCGCCTGGCCCTGCTCCTCGCCGTGCTCCGTGCACCTGCTGCCCCGGGGCCCGCGTGCGGTTGGGCCACCCTGCTCTCCTCCAGGACCGCGGCACTGGGCTCCGCAGGGGCCGTGGGGCGGCCACTTCCAGGTCCTGGGTGTCCCTCTGATCCCGGGAGGGCTGAGTAGCTTCCATCTGCTGGCTCAGACACCAACGCCTCCTCCATGGGCTGGCCATTCTGGATGGTGTTGGGAGGGGCGGAAGAGGGAGAGAACATCCGGCCGTGTCAACGCTGTCCCCGGAAGGCACCCCGCGGACTGCCGTCCGGTCTGACCTTTCCCAAGACCCGCTGCACGGGATGTCGGCCGAGAATGCTCTGCGAGCAGCTTGACCCACCAGCTCTGATGTGGCCACTGCACCCGCACTGGACACACTCACTGAACCAGCTACACCAGCCGGGAGACCACGTGGCCTCGCTCAGCTGGCAGCGGGGCCGACAACAGTGGGGTCCCAGATGCCCCAGTGTGATTTTGGTTCTGCCAGGGCCTTTGCCTGAACCCCTCCTCTAACCCTATAAGGGTTAATTTAAGGATGATGGGCAGGAACAGTGTCACCAGATAGAAACGGTTCCTGCAGGCCACCCCCTGCTGACCGGGCGCCTCCTCACTTACAAGAGCGGGTGTGGACAGCCCCGGGGAAGTCAGGCTGACGGTCCTGCCCTCCACGCAGCCCCGGGCCATGCTCCCGTTGGCTTTCTCAGGCAGCACCGTCTCCGGTTCCGGTTCCGGTCGGCCGTGGCCTGGGTTAAGTTTAAAATGCCGGGCCAGTCCCCCCTTTCCTATGTATGACTTCTCACACGTGTGACACTTAAAGGTTTTGGGCCTTAAGGAGCAGCTCGGCAGGTCGAAGAGCGCCTGCTTCTCCCTCTGCTCCTCATCCTCCTCCACGCTCAGCTCCGAATAATCGTCAGAATCTGACAGGTGACCGTCGGCCAAATCCTCCGTTTTTATGAATTTATAATCTTTAGCTTTATACTTGGGAGGTCGAGAGATCCGCCCAGAACGTGTTTTCACTTTTAAAGACTTTTTCAGTTTCTCACTGTGTTTTGTATGCAGGTTGGAAATAAATAAATTTGCTGAACTGGATGAAACAGAGGTTATTGCCGGGGGGTCAGAGGCTGACAACAGGGCCAAGGTGGCACCTTGTCCATTCAGAGCCTGGGGGGCCGCGACTGTCTTTGCGGAGACTGGTCGGAGGGCAGGCAATGGCCTCTGCACAAACACTTGAACAGGAGGCGACGGTGAGTTACTCAGGAAGCACAGCTGTGTCCCGGTGCCCAGGACGGGCTGAGCCCTGAGCAGCTGAGGGCTGGCGACGCTGAGCCCCAGCACGCTGGGGGGCCTCCCGGGTGGCTGGCTCGGCCTGCCCGCCGTGGGCTGGATGGCGGCTGGCGGGGGCACCGGCTGTTCCTGGCCTTTCGTTTCTCCAGATGTCACCTTGACGCAAATGGCTTCCAGTTGCTGAAACAGAGAAAGAGAAAAGAAGCACTATGCTTATCAACGTTTCTACAATTTTGCTCTCAAATCGACTGTTGAAGTATTTTTTCTAAATTGTAAAATGCATCGTACGTATATAAAAGTCTATATGTACTATTTAGAGTTGAGTTTCTTAACCTTTCTGGCCAGACCACAGTGATATACTTTACGTCACATCCGTAGGTTCCTGTGGGAACATTCGCAGACATAAATAAGAAGTTCACAAAGCTACTTGCCATTCATACATGAATGCCTTCTGAGAATAGTATCTAGTCTACAACGCTTTTTCAAAAAATACTAGTCGTAACCCAGTGAATTGATTTCATGACCCATTAAGAAATATCCTTCTTATAGTTTTACCACGTGTTATTTACTTGGAGTTTTTAGTACTCTAAATTGGACTCAATTCAATATGTGGGCTCATTTTTAAGTTTTTAATGAAATTCTGGAAACCAAATAGGCCACAAAGAACACTGTACCCCAGGTCCCTGCCACCCACCCGAGACATGCAGCATTCCCAGTGCTGGCGAGGCCCCCTGCTGTTCGCCCAGCCCAACGCCCTTTTCCTTGCCCCATCCTGGATGTGCTGTTTATCATTCTCGTGCATTTTTTATATTACAGATGTAGTATGGCTAAAAACATGCAGTTCAGTTTTGCCATGTTTTTAAATTTCACATAAATGGCTATCATCTCCCGCAACCTGGCAGGCCTTTGGGGTTTCACTCTCTCTCTTGCTTGTGAAATTCATCAATATCGAGGCATGTAGCCCCAGGGGGTTGATGGTCTTTGCAGTGGGAGAGCAACACTCTTCCGTTGATGGACGGGTGGTCTCCATCCCTGAGCTCTGATGCCAGCTCTGAACCCTCACGGGTGTGCGTGTACACAGGTGTGAGCTTCTCCAGGGCACACACCTAGAAGTAGGGCTGCGTACCTTCAACAACTTTTTTTAACATCTAACAAAATTTTAAATGCGTGTGTTTTTGGACCCAGCAACGCTGCTTCTTGGCTCCCCTAAGAAACACTAGTGTAGGCACGGAGATCTACGTCTAGGAGATTCCAAGCAGCACTGTCTGTAACAGCAAGCAGCCCCCAAAGGAGAAGCTGCCGTCCACCATGTTCCAGAGAGTTACTGAGCAGTGACCTGCACCAGAGGCAATGGGACATGGGTCGGGGATACAGCAGTCGGGCTCGGGGGAGGACAGCAAAACAGAGAAGGTCCCTGCCCTTGCAGAGTAGAAATAACGAGAGAAGAGAGACAAAGCTCACCACCCGGAGCGGGCTTTCTCAACCCCGGCACGATGACACTGCAGACCAGTGATTCTCTGTCCTGGTGGCTGGCCTGTACACTGCAGGACGTTGAGCAGCATCCCTGTCTCTATCCACAAGATGCCAATAGCACCTCCCATGTAGTGACAATCAAAAATGTCTCCGGACATTGCCAAATGCCCCTGTGGGGCAAAATCACCCACAGCTGAAAACCACTGATTTAGGGCCACCAACAGGCCCTCTGTAGACTCAACCCTTTACCAAGTAGATGGTGACTAAAAATGTCACACGGAGCAGAATAAAAACCCTCACTGAAATCAAGGTGGGATACATCTGTCTGTATGCACATTATACACCTACTACACGCAGCAGAGACAATGAAATATACTGCTTTATGAGGAAGTGTACAGAGCTGGTGCCAGCATCCCATTAGTCCCCAATCCTGGGCCACTGAATCAAATGACAACTAGATTTACTTTGCATATCTTTTAAGAATCATATTTGTTTTCTACCAGTTATTAGAATATTTCTCTAAGCTCTTGGGATGGTAACTAATATGTAATTAAACACACACACACTCTCTCTCTCTACTGTTTAAGGATTACCACAGTGGCAAAACTGATCTAAATGTTTAATCTGCTATTGAGACTAGTTTACCATTTGGGTATTAGACTTGATACTTCGTTATTCATTCATTTCATTCAGCAAACGCTCACTGAGTATCTCTGGGGGCCACACATGAACAAAGGCCAAGTCCTCTTGCCCCTTGAGGTGGGGGGTAGCTCCCACCGCCATGCCTCAGTCGCCTGCTGACTCAGGCTCTCCTGCCCAAAACATGTACTTTCCAAAGCTCCGCTGATGATCCTGAAGGCAGACTAGGGTCCCTAAGGGATGCAGACAGGGAAGCAGTGACACCATGGTGCAGCAGGTGCCGTGAGAGGCAGGGGGCAGGAGAGGCCCAGGGGTGCTGGGCTCCCCAGGAGAGAGGACCTCCAAGAGGAGCCGGAGGGCTGAGCTGAATTTTTGCAGGTGGAAAGGTATTCTAGGGGTAAGGAAAACCACGGGTGGACGCATGGAAAGGGGCGCGGAGTATTGGAAGAAACTAGAAATGCTTCTGTGGGGCAGGAACAGAAGGATGAGGAGGGACGAGAGCCAAAATCTGACCCGTGGGAGTGGCCACTTGGTCTGTGTCTTCTGATCGCATCACCCCAGAGAACCACAGGCCCTCGAAAGGCACAGCCGCCCCAGCCCCGACACCGCCTGACCTCTTCATTTTCTACTCGCCAAATCTAGTTCAGACGCCACCTCTTCCACAAAGTCTCTTCTAATCCCCCCAGCCAGAAATGACCTTTCTCTAAATGCGTTTAGTTCTTTACCTGTGTCTCTAGCAGTCCGACCTCGATTAGAAGGTATCTGAGTCCTGTTTCACCTCCGTGGTTACATTATCACCCCCTTAGGGGCAAGGCACACATCTGGTTTGCCTTTGTGGCCCCATGGCGCAGCTGGGGTTCAAAGAGTACTAGCTGAATAGGCGGCACAACTACATTACCGCGAATGCAGGTAGAATTTGTATCATCCCAATGAGACTGGCTACAGAATACAATCGAGCTGCCTAACTCTTAATCAAAGTTTGCTTTCATTTGATGGAAAATGTCATGTTTGGACATTTTCCTAAGCTGCCACCAACCCCAAGCTGTGGTCACATTCGACAGGCCCTGGAGTGCAGCCACACCTGGGGGATCCTAGGCAAAGTCAGCCGACCTCCCTGAGCTTGTTGCTCATCTTTTAAACGCTGAACAAACACTGGTGTGTGGCTGCTGAGAACGGAGCAGCCCGGCACAGGGTGGGGCGTGGAGCAGAGGCTCTGCGAACAGCAGCCACCGACACCCTTCTGCCACCAGGCTTGTGCTGCGCCTGGCTCCCGCGGGAGGCCGCTGTTCCCGCAGCAGAGTAGGAGCCACAAAGCTCACCCCTGGGCCATCCCTCGTGCAGACAAGGACACGGAAGCCCACAGAGGCTGAGAAGGAGTTTGGGCAGAATCGCACTTGCGTCTTCTCAAACTTTAGCAAGACACCTCTCGGATCCAGAAGACCAGCTGGGTACAACTGCAGCCAAAACCACCCGGTCGAAAAACCAAAACAAGCGACGAGCACTGCTGAGTCTACCCTCCGCCTCGGTCTTCCGGGGAAGACGCGCCGCTCTGGCAGTTTGCGGGGACAAGCTGCTCACTGACAGCCCCGGAGATGAACGGGGTGCGGATGGACAGATGCGAAGGACCTCGGCTCCGGGACCGTCCGGGCCGGGGGGACCCTGTTCTGGTGGCAGCTTCCCTGGCGGCCAGGAGCGGTGGGAGCAGTTAGCGATGCCAGAGAAGCGGGGCTCGGGAGCAAAGAAGCGGGGTTCGACAGCAGAGAAGCGGGGTTCGCATCACGCCGAGCGCCTTCGCAGGCTTCGTTCGCTAAGCGCGCAGCGGTGCGGGCCCGGGCACCAGCACTCGGGGTGCACGTCCGTGGGGCACCAGACTGTGCTAGTTCCGTCCCAGGTCCCCACGGTGGCACTCGCAGCGCCTCCCCCTGACAGGTCCTTCTCGTCTGTTCCTTTTAACCCATTCAGGCCCGGCCGTGTCGGCCTAAGACCCGCG